TTCAATCAAATGTGGTCTTCAGATCCAGAGGCTTAGTGGGGATTACTGCGAGTCAGGGACTGGGGTACTTATCTTAGGAGTTCCAGAGTCTCAGCACCTACTTTCCTGTCCATTGCAGCTCTTAGAAATGTCCTTTAACTGCCTGGAGGATGTGGAGAGCACCATTCCAGTCAGCCCTTTGCACTTAGCTGTGAGTCCCATGTCTTTTTCTTTTGCCTCCCTTGTCCTGCCTGTTCCCAGGCCCTAACAAAGGTGCCAGCACTTGTGAAGTTATCCTTGCTTCTGCCTTTTTGTGGGAGAGGGGATAAACACAGTGCAGGGTAGGAAGCCTTGAGGGGCCTAAGGAGCTTGTCGAGGACTAAGACCTTGAGCTTCCCATGGACCCCAAGAGCAGAGAAGGGGAAGGGAAGAGCAGGGAAGGTCCCGAGCTGTGTGCACTGGTTGCCTGCACCCCTCCAGGCCTACAACGGTCACTGTGAAGCCTTGAAGACACTGGCAGAGACGCTGGTGAATCTGGACGTAAGGGACCACAAGGGCCGGACCGCACTCTTCCTGGCCACGGAGCGCGGCTCTACTGAGTGTGTGGAGGTGCTTACGGCCCATGGCGCCTCTGCCCTCATCAAGGAGCGCAAGCGCAAGTGGACGCCCCTGCACGCTGCTGGTTAGTGCCCACTTTAGGCTGCTGCCTTACCCTTGCCATGCCAGATCCCTCCTGGATGGGAATGGGGCTGGAAAGTGGAGTAGGGTGAGGAGAATGGAGACTTCAAGCCCTGATTCATAGCTTCCTATCCTCAGAGATTTCTCTGTGGCCCAGGTCTTCCTGTAACATTGACCCCAAGACCTTTAGGCTTGACCTCGCCTCCCTTCTTCCTCTTGGCCCTGCCCTGACGCGGGGTCCCTTTCCCCTAGCTGCCTCTGGCCACACTGACTCCCTGCACTTGCTGATCGACAGTGGGGAACGAGCTGACATCACAGATGTCATGGATGCCTATGGACAGTGAGTGTGGGCCAGGGTGGGATGCAGGTTTTCCAGTCCTTGTGGGATCCTCACTCCTCCTCCTGCCCCTCTGTAGGACCCCACTGATGCTGGCCATCATGAATGGCCATGTGGACTGTGTACATCTGCTGCTAGAGAAAGGATCCACAGCTGATGCTGCTGACCTCCGGGGCCGCACCGCCCTCCACCGCGGGGTGAGTGAGCTTCTGGGGGGGATTGTTTGCATGTGGGCCTCAGTGTGGGAGCACGGGACTCACCAGCAGTAGGGAATCCAATTGTCTAGGAGGCGAGCCAGGATTTTGTGCCCAGTCTCTTTTTTTTTGGAGACAGGGTCTCACTCCCATGGCCCAGGTTGGAGTTCAGTGACACTATCACGGCTCACTGCAGCCTTGACTTCCTGGGTTCAGGTGATCCTCCCACTTCAGCCTCCTGAGTAGCTGAAACTATAGGCACATGCCACCATGCCCAGCTAATTTTTGTATTTTTTGTAGAGATGGGGATCTTACCATCTTGCCCAAACTGGTCTTGAACTCCTGGGCTCAAGTGATCCCCCAACCTTGGCCTCCTGAAGTGCTGGGATTACAGGTGCGAGCCACCAGGCCCATGCTGTGCCCAGGATCTTATTGAGCCTTGTGCTTGCTCCAGGATGAGTCCCTGACATCCCCAGCTGATTTCCCTGGTATCTGTGCTTTGTTTTATTATTATTATTATTGTTGTTATTATTATTTTTGAGACGGAGTCTCGCCGCTCTGTTGCCCAGGCTGGAGTTCAGTGGCGTGATCTCGGCACACTGCAACCTCTGTCTCCCGGGTTCAAGCGATTCTCCTGCCTCAACCTCCCGAGTAGTTGGGATGACACGCCCAGCTAATTTTTTTATTTTTAGTAGAGACCAAGTTTCTCTGTGTTAGCCAGGATGGTCTCAATCTCCTGATGATGAGATCCACCCGCCTTGGCCTCCCAAAGGGTTGGGTTTACAGGCGTGAGCCATTGTGCCTGGCCGATATCTGTGCTTTGTAATCACATACAACTGAGTGCTTACCATTCACTCTACTTGGGATACCCTGCTGGCCCCATCCCATCGCATAATGTCAGCACCACCTAGATCCTCTTCCGCGACCACCTGTCCTCAGCTGCCTCCTCCTCCCACAAGATTTTTTGATCCCTTAGTCTCCTTCTTCTCTCTGTTTAGTCTTTCACTCCAGAGCTCCAGTATTAACTCTTAGTATCCTGAATGTTTATTGGCATAGAGAGAGTCAAGGAGGGAGATGTGGGTCTTTGACACTTAGAATCATTGTTGTAAAGGGCCGGGCGCAGTGACTCACGTCTGTAATCCCAGCACTTTGGAAGGCCAAGGCGGGTGGGTCAGCTGAGGTCAGGAGTTCGAGACCAGCCTGGCCAACATGGTGAAACTTTGTCTCTACTAAAAATACAAAAATTAATTGGGCATGGTGGTGCACGCCTATAATCCCAGCTACTCAGGAGGCTGAGACAGAATTGCTGGAACCCGGGAGGCAGAGGTTGCAGTGAGCCAAGATCACACCATTGCACTCCAGCCTGGGTGACAGAGTGAGACTCTTGTCTCAAAAAAAAAAATCATTGTTGTAAAGACAAGGATTGAGGCCAGGTGCAGTGGCTCGTGCCTGTAATCCCAGCAGTTTGGGAGGCCAAGGCAGGCGGATCACGAGGTCAGGAGATCAAGACCATCCTGGCTAACATGGTGAAACCCCATCTCTAGTAAAAATACAAAAAAATTAGCCGGGCATGGTGGCACCTGCCTGTAATCCCAGCTACTCGGGAGGCTGAGGCAGGAGAATCGCTTGAACCTGGGAGGCAGAGGTTGCAGTGAGCCAAGATTGTGCCACTGCACTCCAGCCTGGGTGACAGAGCAAGACTCTGTCTCCAAAAAAAAAAAGACAAGGATTGGAGCCCTGGAAGTGGTTCTTACTCCTGAGCCAGACTCAAGCAACAGGCCAGCAGAAAAGAAGGAGCTTTTCATCCCCTTCACACCCCCATGTTACTCACAGGCAGTGACTGGCTGTGAGGACTGCCTGGCTGCCCTGCTGGACCACGACGCATTTGTGCTGTGCCGAGACTTTAAGGGCCGCACACCCATTCACCTGGCCTCAGCCTGTGGCCACACTGCAGTACTGCGGACCCTGCTGCAGGCTGCCCTTTCCACAGACCCCCTGGATGCTGGGGTGGATTACAGCGGATACTCGCCCATGCACTGGGCCTCCTACACTGGTACTAGACTGGGGCCTCCACAGGCACAGGAGTATGTGTTGGAGTGTGTGTAGAGGAGGACGGGTGGGTTGTGGGAGGGACCTGGGTTGATCTGAATCTGGAAGTGGACTGGAGTGTCAAGACACAGGACAGACAGGGAACCTTGTTGTTTTTCTCCATCACAACTCTTCCTTACTCATGCCCAGGACACGAAGATTGTCTGGAGTTGTTACTTGAACACAGCCCGTTTTCATACCTGGAAGGAAACCCCTTCACTCCTTTGCACTGTGCAGTGTAAGTCCCTTCTGCTGCGTCAGCCCTTCTTGCGAGGGCCCATGACCTGAGCTTAGGACAGGTAGCCTACTTCCCTTGTCCTTCCTGATGACCCCTCCTCCCTGTTCCTCTAGGATTAATAACCAGGACAGCACCACAGAGATGCTGCTGGGAGCTCTGGGTGCCAAGATTGTGAACAGCCGAGATGCCAAAGGACGGTGGGTGATAGAAGACTTGGGGAGAAGTCCAGTTGCCTCTGGCTTCCTCTTTCTGCTTGGGCAGTATACTCTTCCCTATTTTAATCTACCCTGATCCCCGCCTTACAGGACCCCCCTTCACGCCGCTGCCTTCGCGGACAATGTCTCTGGGCTCCGGATGCTGCTGCAGCACCAAGCCGAGGTGAACGCCACTGACCATACTGGCCGCACTGCGCTCATGACGGCGGCTGAAAACGGGCAGACCGCTGCTGTGGGTGTGTAGGGGCCACTTGTGGAAGGGAGGAGCTCCCCTGGGGCATTTGCAGGATGGGTCAGCCCTGCCTGTGGAGGCTGGCTGGGGCTGGGGTTCAGACATCAGGAGGGTTGTCTTTGGATGTCTCGCCATCTGCAGACGGGATGCAAAGTGGAGAGCCAGGATGGCTGCTGCTCTGGAGGGAGGGTTCAGTCCCTCTGTCACATTTCTCTCGTAGAGTTTCTGCTGTATCGAGGGAAGGCAGACCTTACTGTGTTGGATGAGAACAAGAACACGGCCCTCCACTTGGCTTGTAGCAAGGTACTTACCTGAAGTGATTGGGGGACTGCATAAGGGGCAGAGCTTGATGAAGAGAGGTAGGTCTCGGTTGTAGGGGGGACTAGGGCGGAAGTGAGGATTGTCCAGCACATCCCACTGGTGGGGCAGCTGTTTGTCCTCCTGTTACTCTCCCAACTCCTGCCTTGCACCCTGCCACACTTCTACTTCACAAGTCTCCACTCTGTTCCCCTCCCTCAGGGCCATGAGAAATGTGCCCTCATGATCCTGGCGGAAACCCAAGACCTTGGCCTTATCAACGCTACCAACAGTGCGCTGCAGATGTGAGTGCCTGGAAGGGGGCTCCTAGCTGGGGGAGGCCGGTGGGTGACGCAAAAGAGTGGCTGCTGTTCAGAGGCTCTCTGGAGCCTATAGTATTTGTTCAGCACCCTTGCCACCCTGTCTGGAGGTGGAAGGGCAGCTTAGCATCAAGCTCCTTCTTTTTCCTTTTTTCCAAGGCCACTCCACATTGCTGCCCGGAATGGTCTAGCTTCTGTGGTACAGGCCCTGCTGAGTCGTGGAGCCACAGTGCTGGCTGTGGATGAAGAAGGTGGGTGGGGTCTGGAGCCCCCTGCCTCTCTTGGGTTTGGGGTCAGGGACATTCTTTAGGAGGTGACTTCTTAATCTTGCTTTACATGGGATTTTCTTCCCAAGGGAACTCTTCAGAGTAGGGAGCCCACACCAGTACTCTGGAGTTTCACAGGGGAGCCTGCAGGGTCAGGAGGACTCCACACCCCGGGCTTTGATTCCTATGTCCACCGTTTAGCCCGCACTTAGAGAATCTGCCTGTCAGTCTTCCTGGGCCCTCGTCACCCTTGGATTCTGCCCCTGCTGAGTACCTGCCTGCCTTGGCTCCCTCCACAGAGAAAAGACTTCAGGGCTTGGGGGAGGCTGGCTGGGATACAGGACTCTGTGCCTCAGTTCTCCCCCTTGGCCCTGCAGGTCACACCCCAGCACTGGCCTGTGCCCCCAACAAAGATGTGGCGGACTGCCTGGCCTTGATCCTTTCCACCATGAAGCCTTTCCCACCTAAGGACGCCGTCAGTCCTTTCAGCTTCAGCCTGCTCAAGAACTGCAGCATTGCAGCTGCCAAGACGGTGGGTGGCTGCGGCGCCCTGCCCCATGGGGCCTCCTGCCCCTATAGCCAGGAGCGGCCCGGCGCCATTGGGTTAGACGGCTGCTACTCCGAGTAGCCCCCTCCAGTGTCCCTCCCCCGCCGGTGGCTTGATATCTAATTCTATTTATTTAGAAAAAGTCTAAACATTTAGGGCACTTTAAAGGAGAACACGACTGGGTGGAGGGGGCGGAGGGGAAGGAAGCCCTGGGGAGCAGCTGCTCACCCCTTTGCCACACCATCTTGGCCTGGCAGGGGTCTGGGACTGACAGGGAGCACCCCAGGCCCTTGGTACCCCCAGGGTGACCCCTTCTGCCAAGTGTCCCAAAATGATTGCTAAATGCCTGGCTCCCCCACTCTTTGACTCCATCTCTTGGTTCCCTCTTTCTGCTGCCAGCTCCCCTGACTCTTCCCTGGGGACTCCTCTCTGTGTCCCTCTTCTCCCCTGCCCCTGCTGCCAGGCAGATCCCTTCTTCTTCCATACCCATCACTGCCTCCCTGCTCGGCCGGTCCCTCCATCCCCGCAGCAGTGAGAAGCCTTAATTTCTGGTACTGTGTGAGCACTCTGGGGGTGTCCCCCTCCCCCTTCAGGGGCAGCTAGAGGATGAGGGGGGAGGATATTTAGCACTGGGGCCTGGAGCTTTTCCCCCACTTCTGTACCCTATCACCCCTAAAGTTCAAATGCAAAACACTTGAAGCAGCAACTACTGTACCTGGGCCCCAATCCTGCACTCTCCCCTGGCTCCTCATATGCAAATCAAGGGCTGGTTCTGCCCCCACAGCCTGCCCCCTCCCACTTCCCTCCCAGTCCTAGCCTGGCCCCTAACCACGCACTTTAACCTTGCTTCTTTCTTTTATCTTCTTTTGGGAGGGCAGAGCCTGTGGCCATTCCTGCCCTAGCTCTCCTTTCCTTGAACTTTGAGGCTTGTCATGAATTTTTAAGTAAATGTTTTATCCTTTAGGGGAAGAAACAAATTAATTTCCTGCCCATTTCAAAACCACAGCCCTAGTATGTCCACTGTGTTTCAGGCATGTGTTTGCATGTATATGGAGGGAGGGACCATGTTCTTCCTCCTGTGCCCCCAAGCCCATAGTTTATCTGTGCTCCCGATCTGCCTCCACCTTCCGTTATGTCCAAGAGTACCCACTGCCCCAGTCACTCCTGATCTGAAGCCAAAGATGGTAGGAGGGGCAGGGCCGACAAGGGACCGTGGCTACTCGGGACCCAGGCTTCCCCTCCAGTGTGAGGAAGAAGCTCTGACCTAGAGAGAGATGAATAGGTACTGGGGCTTGGTCCCTGCCTTCCCAGCAGGGAGGAAAGATGGGATTGAGCTAGGGGCTGCATTGGTAAGATTTCTAAAAGTCGCACCCCAAAAGCCAAACTGGGCTGGAGTGAAGAGGGGGCAGTTTTCTCTCTAAATGTAGCATTGAATTTGGCCCTGGTCCCTTTAAGTGCTCTGTCCACCCATCTCCTAGTGCAGCCTCCTGGACAGTTGGACCCACTCCTGCAGCCCAGTGTTCCCTTCCTCACACTCAATACCTCAGCCAGGGGCCAAGACACAGAACTTGAATAGAGGTCATGCCCCCTCCGCCCCAACAGTGCATCCTCGCCCAGTTTGGCTGCCATCAGTATTGTCCCCTGAGAACTGGACAGGCTTCGTTTACACAGTACAGGGTCTCCCCCTGAGGGGATCCTTCAGCCTCCCTCCCCTACCCAAGTTTGCTTTATTCACAGTCTTACCCATCTTTTAGTTGTATACCCTGAATGTCTTGCCATCCTTGTCAAGGGTGGGCTGAGGGGAGGGGGGCGTCCCAGGGACCCCCTCCCTCCCCAATGGATACCCTTAACCATACCTCATTCTGGTTTCCAGAAGCCTGGGGTGTGTCCAAGTCCTTATCTTTCCATGGTCCCTTTTGATACCCTGTCTCTGTGTCTTGCTTCTCCCAACACTCAGTTCCTAAATCATTTCAAGGCTTCCAAATGACCATTATTGATGAGAAGGATTGTGCAGCTTTTAGTTTTTATTTTTATTTTCAAAGCCAAAGGGCCTTGTGACGCCCCTCTTGCCCACCTCCCTCCACACCGTGTCCTCCCCTATATGACAATCAATGTGACCTCTCTTAAGGGCTGCAGCCCCCATCCCCAACCCTGCTGGCTCTGCAAAGCTTGCCTTCCCTTCAATTCTCTCTCCTGAAATCTTCCCATTCCACCCCCTCCTTCTCATCTTGGTGCTGGGAATTAGGTGGTGGGGGGCAAGGGGAGTGAGGAGATGGGTCCTCCAGAGAGAACTCGCGCAGTGTGAGTCGTGTTCTCCTTTTGCGACGTTTGGCGATGGCGGGAAGCATCCGAGTGTCTGTCAGGAGCCCCGTTGTCTTGCTAGATGAGATTTCTGGGGGCTGTCTGCTCCCTGCTGCCCTCAGCACACTGTCAGCAGTGCTGGGAGGTGGTGGGGAGTCCTCTATCCCTCCATATGTGGCTGTGAGGAAGCCTGGGGGACAAACAGCCTCCTCTCCTTATGCCAAAGGAAACCCCACGCCCCACCCTGGGCTCCCCAGCCCTAGTGTTTTTTGAAGCATTTTGACCATTCTCATGGCCACTGCATATTTATTTTAATGTTAAGTTTTTTTTAAACCTCTTTGACTTAAACGGGTGTGGAGAAGTAAAACAGGCAGAATGCCCCCCAATCTTCATGGGAGAGGGTGGGGAGGGAACAGCGCCTTCCCTTTGCCCTCCCCCTTCCCCCTCTCCCCACCGCAGCTCTAAAGCACTTGCTTCAAGTAATAAGCACTTTTGTGAAAAGGCCTATTTTAAGCGAGGACCCTGGGAGCAGCCCCAGGTCCCAGCAAAGGAAACAGAGCGAGGGCGACATAGGAGACAGGGAAACAGACGTGTGAATCAGAGGGTGAGATGGAAAGAGCCAGTTTTTAGTTTCTGATTTTTGGGGAGCTATTTCTGATTGGGCGGTGGCTCTGGTAGGGTCATGTACTATATCCTTCAGAAAAACGAATGGCACAAACTGTGGGTCCCAGGAAGGACCAGCAGACCCGGGTCACTGCCACTGTCCACTGAGACTGACGGGCCACCTCCCCCGCCCCGTGGCCCCCTGAGCCATAGGACTGCTGAAAACCACTGAATGTACAGCCCAGGTTGGGGTGGGGAGCAGCCCCTGGGGGAGGGGGCTTCTCCTTTTGTTTGGTGCTGTGGGGGGTGGGAGAGATGAGACTGAGGGACTGCCACCCCACGTAGACGTGTTTCTTGGGGTGGAGGGGCTGAGGAGGGCCTACCTCCCTCTCCAACCCCAGCCGTGGCCCCTCTTCCTTCCTCACCCCTATCCGTTTTGACTGTAAGTCCAGCTCACCTTTGCCTTCAATATGTAACCAAAGGAAAACTCAATACTGTTTCCACCACTGTCTGCCCACCCGAGCACCTTCTTACTCCCTGGACCTAGAAGGGGAGAAGAGGCTGGGGGTGGGGTGGATGGGGCCAGAGTGAACGGTTCTACAGCTGTACCCCCAAAAGCTCCTCCAGGGTCTTGGAAGGGGTCCTGAGAGGTGGGATTGGGGCCGGGCTGGCAGGGCTGAGTTTGCGCGCTGTGTATCTTATGCACGTGAGTGTTTTTGTCTGAATGACTCCAGTGACTGCTCCAGCGGGGAGGCCCCTTCCTCCTTCCCTCTCAGCCATTTCTCACCCACTTCCCATACCCAGTGTTCATCCCCTACCTCCCCTTCCCACCGCAAAGGAAAATAGCCTTACAGACCCTAGCCCAGAAACCCTACTCCTGGGGCAAACCAGTATGGGCCCCCATCCCGCCTAGTTTGAACCCTACCTTTTAAGAAGGAGGGATAAGGAACAAAGCAGCCCCTTCCCCTCTAATTGTGGTGGCTCCAGCCTTCTGCAGCCTTGACCCAGGTGGGGCAAGGGCGGAGGTGAGGAATCTTTGAGGACCAAGCCCAGTGGTCTGGGAAGTGGGAGGTAGAGAGGGAAGGGTCTGCCTTGGGGGCTCCCTCCTCCCAACCCAACCCCTAGAGAAGCGACCAAATCCCAGAGATGGGGTGAAGCTGGGGTGGGGAGGGTCTGCTCTTTGAATTACTTGAAGGTACTGACTCCAAGGCTGCTGTTGCCCACTTAGGTGTGAGGGGGACACTGTCACTGCATTTGGGAGGGCAGAGGGTGGTGGGTGACCAGAGGATCCACCTTGGCCCTCACCCACTCCTGCTAGGCCCTTTCCCTGGGGAATCTGGAAGCCTGACTTTGCCCCCAGGGAAGTTGGGGAGCGCCTTCCCTCCCTTCTCCACCCCTCACTCTGGGCACCCTCTCCAATTGCACTAAAGTAGCTGTTGTGCCAGTCTGCCCCCCCAACAGTGGGGGAGGTCTCTGCTTCCAGTCTTCTTCCCCCGCTGCCTCCGCTCCCACCCTGGACAATCTCCTTGTTTCCCTTGTGTTCCTGGATAGCTCAGCTTTGTATGTGTGTTTGGGGGGTGGGGGTGGGTTCTGACTGGAGTGGGTTTGGCAGGGGTTTGGGAAGGGTTAGGGGAGGATGGAGGATGAAGTCTCCTGCCCCCTTCCCCAGCTCCAGGCCACAGAAGCCTGGGAAGGGAGGGTGCCTACTCTCGCTGCTGTGTGTCTTGCAGATGTGCCAAAATGGGGGTGGGTGGGATGGGAGGGTGCCTGGCAGAGCAGCCCCTGGGGTGGCTCTCTCAAAGCAATATAGTTCCCCTGCGGGGGACAGCAAGACAGGGGAGAGGGTTGGGGTGGGGACCTGGGGGTTCCCCATGTACAGCTGTGTATATTCAGGGGTGTTCTCTGTCTGGTACCCGCCGTGGGCATCTATGTGTGTGTGAACCTCCCCTTCCCCAAGCCCTGCATGACCTGTGATGCTGCAGACACCACCATCCTGTGTGCAGGTGTGTGTTGGGGGGCACGGAGGGGCATGTTCCATGTCCTGTTGCACCCTCTACCCTGTGACCCATGTACTCGGTTGTAGGAAGTAAAGAGAACTGAGCACAATTCACTGGATTCTAGTGGAATCTTTCTCTAAGCAATTTTCCCATTCCTGCCTCTCCCTGCCCCGGAACCACCTGTGGTGCTAGTGTTGGGATCAGGGGCGTTTAACGCTGGTGGGCAGCAATAAGGGGCAGATGTGCCCAGATGCCTGCATCCCCAGGGTGCCGAGGGCAGCAGGAAAAAGTGGGGACCTCGGTGCATTTGCCCCACCCCTCCCCTTCCTGGGCTAAAGCACAATGCTCTCCCCGCAGATTAATGACCCTACGCCCTCCAGGCCCCTACTCACATCCTCCCCCAGCCGGCTTCGGGTCCTCCCACCACACTCTGGTTTTCTATGCTGTTTTGGTGCAAGTACAACTGTCGTAGTCATGGCTTTGGGATGGGTTCTGTTTATTAAAATCCTGTTGCTCCTACTGGCCCTGTGTCCCGCCTCCATTCCTGTGGTTGGGGGGAAAGAAGGGCAACCCGACCCCTTTCCACTGGCCCCGTCAGCCCTCAGTGGTCACGGGCAGTAGCCGCTCCTCCAGCAGGGCTATGGCAAGCATGAGGCCGCCCCCCAGCAGCAGCCCCAGCCCCTGCAGGAGCACATGGGGCGTAGGCTTGGGCTCCGGAGGACGAAGCAGGGCTGGTAGCTGAAAGAAAAAGAGGATGTCAGGATTCTGGCCTTGCCCCTGACCTCTCAACACCAGAGGAAGGGTGTCAAAAAGCATCAGCAGCCCCCGCCTAAACACCTCAGTCCCTTGTTTCTCAGACTTTTGCGGGCCTGTGGTCTGATGCCCTTCCAGGAGCTAATGGTAGAGGCGGAGGGACTGCTACCTCCCTCTCCTCCACTCCCACCTCCCCACTGCCCTTGTTTTCTCCGCTCTACCCGACATCTCTCACCATGTCCACAAGGGCCACATAGAGGAAGACCCCAGCAGTGACCCCAAACACCCAGGGAGTGAGGGGGACAGGGCCCAGGCTGAGCCCCACCCCCAGGACTGCACCCCCCAGTCCCAGGGCTCCAGACACAAGGCTCAGCAGCAGCAGCCGCCGAAAGGACAGCCCTGACTGGAGCAGCATGGCAAAGTCACCTGTTGGAGACAGAGGACAAGATGGGAGGGAGTAAGCTGGGGTGCCCCTCATCCATGCCACCCGCCAGCCTCCAAGCTCTACCCCTTGGAGCTGTCTCCTTTCTGGAGTCCACCCCGCCCTGCTCCTGCCATTCCTACCCAGTTCATGGGGCAGCTCGTGGCAGAAGACCGCTAAGGTGGTACTGAGGCCACTGGAGAAGCCATCAGAGAAGGCAGCACCTGGGGCCAACGGGGTTGGAAGTTGTCAGTCCAGAAGAAATGTCTCCTCAGAAGCAGGCTCCTGTGTTCTGTGGTCCTCCCATCCTCTCCCCATTTTCCTCAGGGCCCTCTCCTAGCCGCAGCGGATAACTAGGAACCCTGGCCTCCCCTTGGACCTGCTTCCCTCCATTCCCACCCCTCACACCTATGGCCAGCCCATCAGTGAGGTTGTGTAGACCATCTCCCAGGAGGACCATCCACGTGATATCAGTGCCACCCTGGTGCCCATGACTGTGGCCTTGGTGCCCAGGAGGGGCTGGGGCTGGTGGGTGCTGGCTGTTCTGCTCCCTCTGGCCTTGAGCCCCTAGCTCTGCAGGAAGAACCACAGAACAGTGTTGGTGGCTGCAAGTAAGGACTGTGAGCTTCGAGCCTGCTCTTGAAATTTTCTCCTCTAGTCACCTGGAGCTGCCTGTAGGGGCTGAAGGGCCATCCCACTGCCATTCTCCGGGTCCAGGTTTCGTGTTTCGAGATCCCTTCGTTTTCGCCTGCAGCATCTCTGAAATAGGAGGGCATCCCTCCTAGTGGAGGAGGCAGCAGAGCCAGGGACTAAGGGGAAGCCAGGCCACAAGCTGGGAAAATGAACACCTGGTTCCACCTCTGGCACCTGGGATGTTCTTTGGCCTCTACCTTCTTCCCAGGTTGGCACCTCCCCTCTGTTTCTTGTTGACTTGAGCTCAGAAGATGATGCCATTTGGCCAGAAGTCCTGGGTCTGTGCTTAAGGAGCCCCTATCCACTCCCTGTTAGCCGATAGGTCCTGCACACCAGGCAAATATCGGAGATCCAGGAGCACACACTGCTCCTCTCTTGGCTTTTTGACCCAGTTCTTTTTTGTTTTTTTTTTTTTTGAGACAGAGTCTCACTCTGTCACCTGGGCTGAAGTGCAATGGTGCCATCTTGGCTCACTGCAACCTCCACCTCCTGAGTTCAAGCAATTCTCCTGCCTCAGCCTCCTGAGTAGCTGGGATTACAGGCATGTACCACCACGTCCAGCTAATTTTTGTATTTTTAGTAGAGACAGGGTTTCACCATGTTGGTCAGGCTGGTCTCGAACTCCTAACCTTGTTATCTGCCCTCCTCGGCCTCCCAAAGTGCTGGGATTACAGGCGTGAGTCACCACGCCCAGCCTGGTCCAGTTCTTGACTGGGACTCTGGTTTCAGCAGAAGGAGGAGAAAAGGGTATCACTCACTGGCCTGAGCCCTCGGTGTCGCAAAAGCCCCAGCATGTTCTCCAGCACAAAGAGCAGGAAGAGGCCTCCGAGCACTGACAGCCCCGGGCCCAGGTCCTCCTCTGGTAGTCCACCAGGTCCTGCGTGCCGCCCTTCTTGTGCCTGACAGAGAGAAGGTCAGGGCAGACCCTGGAAGCCCCTATACCCAACAACATCCCCTTGCATGGGTGGTGGCAAGCCTTTGCTCATATGCTCTACTTGAAGGCAGCTGTGAGCTGAAGCCAGGATCCAGGAGTAGGATGTGGGAGGTGATGGAAAGTGGGAGGGGATGTCCTGTGGCTGGGGATACCTTAGATCCATGGAGGCCAGGGGTTCAAAGAAGGGGCTTCACATACATGCGGTAGCAGGTGTAGCAGTGCATCCCCACAAAGAGTGCCCACGGCCAGGGCCCCCAGGAAGCCCAGTAAGGGCCGCAGTAGACGAGGTTCCAGGAGCCGCAGCAGCAGCAGGGATAGGGGAGAAGGGAGGCTGAGCAACAGGACTGCCAGGGCACTCTGAAGCAGGGCTGGGGAGAATCAGGGGCTGAAGTTAGGCCAGGGCAGGAGGAGGGTCCCACATGTAAGGTGGGGCAGAGAGAACACTACAAGGAGAGGCAGGACCCCAGTGAGCCTCCTTTCTTGGCATGGGCCCCACTTCCAGGATTCAGGGAGCCCCCCACCCACTCCTACTTGCTGACCAGATAGTAGATCCCCTGGGGGTGCAGGGGCCGGAGCTCCGATGCAGACGCGGCTGTCGATCTGATAAAGCAGGGCTGGGCACAGCAGAGCAAACTGACGAGGAGTCAGAGGAGCAGCGGGGCTCAGGCCAAAATTGACCAGCAGCTGGGAGCCGTTCAGACACTAGGGGAGTTGAGGTTCATACATTGGAGAATCACCAGGAACTATGACTCAGATCTTTAACACTTGGCCAGGTGCAGTGGCTCACACCTGTAATCCCAGCACTTAAGAGGCCCAGGCAGGTGGATCACCTGAGGTCAGGAGTTCTAGACCAACCTGGCCAACATGGTGAAACCCTGTCTCTACTAAAAATACAAAAATTAGCTGGGGATGAGCCGGGTGCGGTGGCTCAGGCCTGTAATCCCAACACTTTGGGAGCCTGAGGCAGGTAGATTGCCTGAGCTCAGGAGTTCGAGACCAGCCTGGGCAACATGGTGAAACCCCATCTCTACTAAAGTACAAAATATTAGCTGGGCATGGTGGCGTGCGCCTGTGGTCCCAGCTACTCAGGAGGCTGAGACAGGAGAATCGCTTGAACCCAGGAGGCAGAGGTTGCAGTGAGCCGAGATCACGCCAGTGCACTCCGGCCTGGGCGACAGAGTGAGACTCCATCTCAAAAAAAAAAAAAAATTGCTGGGGATGGTAGTGAACACCTATAATCCCAGCTACTTGGGAGGCTGAGGCAGGAGAATTGCTTTAACCCAGGAGGTGGAGGTTGCAGTGAGCCGAGATCGCGCCATTGCATTCCAGCCTGGGTGACAGAGTCACACCCTGCCTCAAAAAAAAAAAAATATTTAACAGCTGTCCTTCCATTGCATAGACTCCTGGGTCTCTCCCAGGGTCCCCTTTGCTCCTACTGGCAGGTGTCTTGGGGACTGGGGCCAAGGGTACTTATAATCAATGTGTATTAATTATTAGTAAATATTCAGTCCAATGCAGGTATTCAATTCGATGCAAACTGGGTGCTAGTGAGCATTGTCATCATTTCCCCCTCCAAACCCTGATCATTTCAATCATTTCATTGATTTGATAAATGAAGCTGGTTGGAAAACTAGAGCTCTCCATGCCAGAATCTTAAAAGGGAAAAGACCCTAAAATGCCATCTAACCTCCCTCTCAACAGCCCTGTCCAATGTTCATCTGGCCTCAGCTTGAATGCTTCCTGCATAGGGCACTCACTGGACCTCCATCAGGGTTAGGCAGCTTTGTCTGCCCTCTGGTGTAAGTAGAACATATTCTCTGTCTTTCTGGATGAAGACGGCTATCCATTCCCTGCAGTTCTCCTCTCCAGGTGACCATCCAGATCCTATCCTGGGCTGCTTCTCTAGATTCTCTGCTTTGCCATCTATTCCTCTAAACTGAGTCTTGGAGCTCTGGATATGGGCTCACCTGCTCTGATCCCAGAGGGAACATAGTTCACTATTGAAATAGCATCCCCTAAGACCACAATGGAATTTTTTTTTTCTTTTTTTGAGACAGAGTCTCGCTCTGTCACCCAGGCTGGAGTGCAGTGGTGTGATCTCGGCTTACTGCAATCTCTGCCTCCTGGGTTCAAGCAATTCTCCTGCCTCAGCCTCCTGAGTAGCTGGGATTACAGGCATGTGCCACCATGCCCAGCTATTTTTTTTTTTTTCTTTTTTTTTTTTTTGAGACAGAGTCTCGCTTTGTCGCCCAGGCTGGAATGCAGTGGCGCGATCTCGGCTCACTGCAAGCTCCGCCTCCCGGGTTCACGCCATTCTCCTGCCTCAGCCTCCGAGTAGCTGGGACTACAGGTGCCCGCCACCTCGCCCGGCTAATTTTTTGTATTTTTAGTAGAGATGGGGTTTCACTGTGTTAGCCAGGATGGTCTCGATCTCCCGACCTCGTGATCCGCCCGCCTCGGCCTCCCAAAGTGCTGGGATTACAGGCGTGAGCCACCGCGCCCGGCCTTTTTTTTTTTTTTAGACGGAGTTTCCCTGTTTTTGCCCAGACTGGGGTGCAAATGGCACCATCTCGGCTCACTGCAACCTCCGCCTCCCGGGTTCAAGCGATTTTCTCACCTCAGCCTCCCAACTAGCTAGGATTACAGGCACCCGTTACCACGCCCGGCTAATTTTGTATTTTTTAGTAGAGATGAGGTTTCACCACGTTGGCCAGGCTAGTC